GGAGCCGGCGTTGGAAGGGATCTGCCAGCGGCACGTAGACACGGAGCAGTGGAAGCCCACCTCCCCGCAGGGCAGGCTGGGGGCTCCTCCGCACCTCCCGCTTGCTCTTCACCCTGTCTCTGCCCAGGCGTGCCTTCGTTTCCCCTTTTCAGCTTAATTGGCAATTAGTTTATGATAGGGCTGTAAGTATTTAAGCCAATATCTGCACCAACAGAGTAAGCTGATACAGCCGCAGCCTCCGGCCCCTGCGTGCATGCACGTGCTCGCTGCATCCCACGTCACTGAGCTGCCGTCGCCTTAATCCTCTCGGTGCCCCAGTTGTAACCACGCTGAGAAATCGGTCACCAGTTCAGCCCCAGCAGCAGCCTCATGGGTGTGCAGGCTGGCAAGGAAACCCGCTGTTCCTCCCCCTGCCAGTAAGTGCCTCCCACTTCTTCTCTTTGCTTGCCAGCCTACGAGCGATCGCAGCGGGTTAGCGTCTCAAAAACCACCACTGCAAAAACGACCACCACCACAACCACCACAACCACAACCTCAACCACCACAACCACCAGCAGCACCCCCCTACCTGCCACCACCACCCAGCCAGGTGGGTGCCACTCTCCCTGCCTCGCTCGAGAGGCCAGCACGCCGCTGCTGGGCTCCTCTTTTCATCTGCTTCCCCATCCTGGCTCCTTCGCTGGGCTCGTTCGATGGGGTGGGGGAGCACGTGGGGCTGCCACGACGGTGGTGCTGGTTATCTGCTCTGTAGGATGATAAAAGGACATGGATAAAAATCACCCCAACTTGGTTCACATCCCCCAGCCTCTAGGCAGTCCTGGTTTGCTGTTTTCTGTTCAGTCGAAGGGCACTTCGATATGTGTACCACGAGCTAGGACGAAGCGTTAAGGTCCCCATAAGCAGGGAGGCAGCCACAATGGGGTCACCTCAAAGCCAACAGACAACCATGCCAGGGGTTGGGGCTCTCACTCCGCTGTCGCTCTGTTGTCATCAGGGCAGCAAGAAGTGGAGCCAGGACTGGATGCAGAGGAAGCAATGCTTTTCCCTTTCTTTCCTTCAGTTTTGGGGTTTTTTTTAAAAGAAAAGGTTTTTCAAAATCTGTCCCTCCTAGAGCCACTTGGCAACATCGTCCCGCACAGGGCTGCCAAGGCTGCAAGAAATGCTCTCTTACAGCTCCACTGCAAAGCAGAGCAGGAAAGCAATGAAAGCTTCACTGTCCCACCCTAGTAATTAAACCACATACTTGGTCTTGCCTGGCTGGAAGGAGAGGGGAATTGTACCCCGTCCTGCTCTATCCCTGACCTCTACGCGTGATCCCAGAGCAGGCAGGAGAGCTGTCCCTGCTGTCACTTGCAGGGTGCTGCTCTGCCCCACCGGCCGCTCACCCAGATAACTCGCCGGCAGCCTCGGAGCAGCTCGGAGGCTTTGCTAAACCCTGCCAGGGACGGGACTTGGGGTCAGAGGAGGAGCTGGCTCTATCCTTGCTGGCTCTTCCAATCCTGCACCAAGTCCCTGTGGCCAGACTCGTGGGTGTAACACAGGCTGGCGGCATCTTCAAGGGCAGATTTCCCAGGGCGGAGCCTCACTCTGGCATTCCCCAGGCAGCTGCTGTACAAGAAGCGTTGCAGGGCTGGAGCTCACACACGTGCCAGAAACCCTTTCCTAATTTCTAAAATCACCCTGCGGAGGAAAACTTTTGTTCTTTTTCCAGGGGTTCCCCTTTCCCTCCCCCCACGAACAAGGAGACAACGTTTTCACTTTTCTGTTGGAAATGAGCAGATAACTTAACAGCAGGACATTTATTTTTTTTAAGCTTCTCATGGGGGAATTAGACACGCATTCCTCCCCTTGCCATGCTTTCTGGGCCTGATATTTCCCAGGAGGACGTTTTACACCCACAGTATGTTAGTAACAGTCTGTCTGGGGGAGCTGCCAGAAGCCAGTCAAAGGGATGAGGAAGCTTGATTGCATGTTTATGCAAATATATATATATTCGTGGAAGTACCCTGCTTGAGTAGTTAATCAGGAAGCTGAGGGTTTAGCTCCAGCTTCCATGGGGTTGGAGTGACCCTGGGCGTAAGAGTGCAAGCCTCTGGTTTGTTAAGAAGTGCTCCTCACCCAGGTTCATGGTGTACCTGGGCAGGAAGAGGTTCAGCCACCACCTCAGCCCAGGGCTCACGCCACAGCCCCAAGAGCGACAGGGGTTCACGTCAACATCTGCACTGCGCTCTCGGGGATCATTTGATTTTTATCCATGCTCGCTCATAGCAACATTTTAGGTCTGTTTTTCCTGAAAGTGCTCTGTGCATGTGGGTGCTGTGTTTAGTGTCTATCTCATGTATGATTTGCAGCGCTCTGCCTCGCTTGTGTCGTACACCTGGGGCGGGCAGGACGGCATCTGTGTGGGGTTGGATGGTGGGGGGCATAATTTCTCTCGACTGATACTTGGGAGACATCACACACCTCAGGGATTATTCCTTCTCCAAAACCTGCTCCCTGTTTAGAGAAAATGTTTTCATAATGCTTTCATTAAGCGTGATGGCAAGGCACAAAAATAAGTAAATAAATCACAGTCCAGCTGCCACGTCACTGGCTCGATATGGTCAGGCCGGAGCTTAGAGCTCCTTGCCCCTATCCAGACCCTATCCATGTCTCCGCAGAGCCAGGTCTCACCCTAGAGTGGTGTGCCTGGGGATGGAGACCATCCCTGGAGGGGCTGCTCCAAATGAGGAGGCAGTCAGGGCCACCCAGCAGCTGGGGGATCTGCTGTCTTACCTGGGCAGCGTGCTGTGTCTGATGCCAAAGACCCATTCCATGTCAAAGAATCAAGGCGCAGCCTGATTATGATCTGCTTTTGACCAGAGACATTCCTCCCTCTCCACTCCTGCAAAATGTAAAGTACTTCTTTAACTACCACGATATCCCCAAGGGACTGTGAATCTAACTCACCTGGACCTCAGGGGAAACGAATTGTTAAAGACGTGACCCTTGTTGCTCCTGGTAAGATGCCCATTTGCAGGAGATGCAAGAACCCCAAGCTGGGTAAGAGTCCAAAAATGTCATACTCTATCATTAGCTCCCTTCTGAATCTTAGCAGAGTTAAACGAAACCTTCCTTGCTGCCCAGCTCAGCCAGATGGTTTTTTTTAAAAGTCCAGTTAGAGCCCAGCCCCATCCCCGTGCTGTTTCCCCCTCTAATTTACACACTGTGTTCTGCCCTCTGATTTTCTGCTTCCCACCATAAGCAAGCATCATCAGACCAGCTTCTGAGTTCACTGCCTCTGAGCCTGTGAGAGAAACACAGAAAAAAACAGGTATTTCAAGCCAGACTGGTGTTATTTTCCCCTTCTCCTTTATGCCTCCGCACACTAGTGGGTAGCAGCAAGGCAGAAAGCAACATAGCACGTAGGCTAGAGGAGTAGATTAGATTTGGGTTGTCTCTAGGTTGCATGGATCTGCTAGACATCTGCTTCCTTTGGCTGCTCGTGGTGTTTTCCGTGGTCAAGGTGGAGATGTGGTCATGTTCAGAGAATGTTTTCGTGCTGGTTGCCTGTCGTGCGGTGAAGGAGGGAGAAGAATAAGTTTATGGGCACGATCTGTGGTCTGAAGGCAGGTGAGGCTGCCAAAATAGGTAGAGGGAAGGGAAATTGCAGAGTTACCCTAAGGAGGACGAATTAAGTGCTATTCTCATTTGCCTTCTGCAGTTCTGTTATTTCAAAACCTTCCTTGAAGCCTGTCAAGTTCTTCCTTGCCATTTGTTACATTTTCCCACGTTCAAAATAAGCGAAAAAAAGCTTTTTCTTTTAAGGGGACCCCATGTTTATGTTGGAGAAGGATGTTTTCAGGATCCTTCCCCACTATTCCACCACTGTTTGCCCCAATGGTTTTTGCTAGGAAGCATGACTTCGTGGTTCAATTTGTTCCACTTCCCCAGAAATCCATCAAGACCAGCAATTTTCAACAGGGCTCCCAAGACAAGCCCCCAGAATAAGAGCTGCCCATTTGTATGAACTGGGTCTGGGGGCGAAACATGTCTCACCCCCCTCCCATAATGCAAAACTATCCATTAATGTCCCAGAGCTACAAGGGAAAAAGGTTCTCAGGATAATGAGCATTAATAATTTTCCTGGCTCTGTAAATGCGATTGAGTGGAGGTGTATGTGAATGACTAAAAAGCAAAATGCCTCCAGGGCTGTTTTTTATTGTGACTCTAATTAAACCCTTGCCAATTTGCACAGAGCTTTTTTCATATTCTCTTTAACATCGTATTAATATCAATTGGTTTCCACTTTCCAGCTGAAAAGGACAATGTCTATCACCTTCTCTTAGAGCTTGTTGTTAAAAAAAAAAAATTCTTTTTTCTTTTTTCATTTTTATTCTGTATTGTTTATCATCCCCTTGACGAGGCTGGGAAATCACATTTCTCTCCTGCTCGGGTTTGTCCTTTGAAACTTGGCAAGGATTGAGATTTTTTTATTTTTTTTTCTTCCTCCTCCTTATGTTACCCAACTGGAGCTTGAAATTAATAATAAGGCTTTTCAAATTTTATTCTTTGGTTTGTTTTCTAGCAAACCTGAAGATTGTTACCAATACTGAGGAGACAGGTAGGGGTAGGGAGCCAGTGGGGGTGAGTGTTTGCAGGGAAACCAAACAAGTGTTCTACAAATTTCTTGCCGGCTTAATTTCGCCGCAGTGGCTTGTGAGTTCTTTAAACCGGCATTTCCAAAAAAAGAGCAGAGCCTGAAGGAGACCCTACAATTTTGGACTAGAAACCAGGATTTCATGCCTCTATCCCAAGACACCCGTGCTGTTTCTCAGCTCCCTTAGTTCGAAGCGGAGGGGTACGGATCAGTCGCCGAGCGCCTCGTGCAAAACCACGAGTGAAACGCTGGGCTGAGGATGGGCAGCTCAGCCCCTCACCAGCATTGAGAAGGCATCAAAACTTCGGTTGGTTTTGTCTTCCAAAGCTCTGACTCTCTACCAGAGCTGTTTCCCAGTTCCCCTCAGTAACACAGCTTTCCCTTTTGACCTCTGCAAGACTACACCGGCTCGTCGGCGGCCGCCTCACTGCAAGCGGGCAAGGCTGGAGCAGAAGGTAGGAGACGCGTGGCCGAGCTGGGTCCCACCAGCGAGTTCCAGCTCCCAAAGCTCAGTGAACACTTTAGTTTCTAGTTCTGTGTCTCCGCTTTCCGTGCAGCTCTCCCTTCCTCCCGCCTGGGAAGAAGCTCAGGGTTTGTGCGTGCCCGACTCATGGCTGGGAAGCTGGTGAGGCTGGATTGAGCCTCGGGGTTTAGTCGTATACATGAAAGATGAGGATGGTAAGTGGTAGAAGAGAGTGTTCCAGGCTTGCTGCTGGGGTGAACGGAGAGAATCATGGAAATCCTGTCATCTCCTAAGACCAGAGGCTGTTTGTAGAGCAGAATAACTTTGTAAATAGATAGGCTTGTGTTGATGGTAGCATAGATGCCGCCTTCTGTATTTCCTTGCTTTAAGTCTCCTGCTTCACTGCCTAAGGTGAGCTGCTCCTGCTGGGAGCCTCGGGAGGCTTCACGCCGGCTGTTGAGGCTGAAGTTTCTCCTCCTCATGGTTCCCACCAGCACACACGCTTCAGCAGTTGCCTGTCGGTGCTCAAGTCCTGTTTCCCAGATGAGATCCCTGTAGCTCACTCCAGCGTAGACATTAACATCCCTTCCAGTGCAGAACATAACAACTGCTGAAGCTGGGCCCAGGACACAACCCAGTGTTTGGAAATACTCAGCTGGGTGGCAGAAAGTGACAAAATTAAGGCTTTTTGGAATTGTTGTGCTTTGGAGCCTGTCTCACCTCACAGAGAGACGAAACTGCATTCGATACCGCAGGTATCAGTGCAAGATGATGCCAACAGCCTGTGCCAAACAAGGGGCGCTTCTGAGTCTTGACAGGTGTCTGCAGATTTAGCTTTTCTCCACGCTTGGGCAATATAACGACCACATGCCAACACTCGGCTGTCCAGCAGCTCCCACACCTTCCGCTTAGGATTATGTTTTCTGTCTATCTTCTTTAAATACTGTAATTTCCAGGAGACTTCGTTTTTTTGCTTCAACACGTCCTCTACCAGATATAGTTCTACCAACCCACCCTAGATACCTGCCTAGAGCTTCCATTGTCCCTTTGCCAGCTTTTTAAGCAAATAAGGTGATCTGTATTAAATCTGATGTTCTCTGTAACTGATGCCATCATAAGCTGTTCAGCGCCCACTAAACACAGCAGCCCTTGGACCCAAGCCGAAGCCACCAGAGCCTCCTGAGAATATTCAAGGTAAGACCACGCCTGTCCCCAAAGTCAGGGCAGTACAGGTTATTCCCCCAGTGCCCGGGGACAACCCACCTATCCTCAGCATGACCCACCATCGTACAATCTGTTCTCCTTCTCAGAGGGTCCACCTCAGCTCACTCTATCCAGCCTCATGGAGACCTTTCTGGGGCTGGGATGGCTGCAGGGATCTCCCTGGGCCTCAGCAGAGCCCATGGGCACCCTAGCAGCTTTGGGAAGGGGTTTCTTGCCATGGGGCAAGAAGCAACTAGTGAGCACCCATGAGGGGAGACCACCATGTTCCCTGCTGAGCTGTCATGCCAGGGGATGGAGGAGGCCACGGTGGCCTGTCATGGCCATGGAGGCTGGGGAGGCCATGTTGGTGGAGTAGGATCTGGACACTGTGCCAGCCCACCACAGGACTCCATGGAGACGTGAGGAGGCCCCAGCAGCACAGCACCCTCAAAGATGGTGTCAGAGGCAGGACTGGGCCCACTCTGACCATGGCTGAGCCCTGGGGGTGGGGAGTAAGGCCACCTCCTGCCATGGGCCACCTGTGGCTTGCAAACCACAAAAACCAGTGGGACCCGTTCCCGTGGGATGTCAGGCTGCACAACCTTGCCCCTTCTGTGGCTACCAAAGCACAAATGTCCCCCAAGCACCAAACGCCATCAGCCCAATTTGCAAGCAATGTCCTTTCCCCCAGCACCCCAGTCGCTCTGCCTGGGGCAGGGGTCTGGCTGGTGGCACAGCCTCGAGAAAGCACCATCCCGGCCAGGGCATCCCCTCACCCTGAGGAGATATCCCAGCCGTGCCAGGCTGGCCCCAGGAGCCCTGTCCCCACCACAGCACTCAGATATGTTTTATCATCTCACGTAGTGGCTCCGAAGAGCAAAGCAGGGCGCACAGCACACTCTGCAGGCAAAAGGCACAGGAAGAAGCCAGGTACGTGCTGGCGGGGACGAGTCGGGCTGGAGTGGTGTGTTCTCTTCAGGAACCCATAGCAAGCCCTTCCAGATGCCACCTCCATAGCATTTGTCCCAGCTGCAGTCCTAGTATCTTTTTGGGTGCCAGATGGTGTGACCTCCATCAAACTGAGGACATGGCCAGTAGATTTTATTATTATTTTTTTCAGGCTATTCAGACTTGTAGACCGTTATCCTGAATAACTTGATTCACACCACCCAATGTGCATAATAAAGGGGGAAGCATGAGTGGCTCCTCTGGGCTCCGTGCATTGCAATAGTGCCATGCATTGAGTTTTTCATGCGCCAAATTTTGGGGAGGGGAGAAGAGGAGGAAAAATTTAGCAGCTACCAGCTGCCTGGTGCAGAAATAGCTGCCAGCAGTGCCAGAGTGGTGTTCTTGGCTTCACTCAGCATTGTTCTCCTAGCAGAGCAGCTCGTGGTAGGATAGGATGCGGAGTGGTGCTAAACAGCGAGAAAAAGCGTGTCTCTGATTTTTCTTAAGCATCCTCAAAGAGCTCAAAACTCATCCGGCTCAAACCAGATGCTGGCCCAGTGGCTCCTATTGAAACATATAAAGGTAAGAGGAGGGAGCACAGTGATTCAGGGCTCCTAGTCTTCACCCAGGTACTGTGATCCAGCAGGCTCCAACATGGAGAAGATGGGGAGGGTTTGCCTATCCCAGTCGTGGTTAGCTGTACGTAGGGGTTCGTCCCTAAGGTGAAACAACACTTGGGAATTGCAGCAGCCAGAAGTATTTGAGCTGAAATTCTTTGGGTGTTGATCAAACAGGTAGAAGTTGTTTCACAGCAGATCAAGATTATAATGGAATCTCAGCTCCTCCTCAGGCAGCTGTGAACCATGGGGAAACCTCTGCCCTGCTCCATCATCCCTGGTCATCATTTCACTGAGACAAGTCTCCTCCAGTTGCATGTGCATGTCAGCTCGCACCTTCCTTCCCATCCCTCTGCCATCCTCGAATGTTCAATGCAAGAGCCTGGAACAACCTCCCAGTTTTGAGCATCCTTCCTCCTCCTCTCTGAGGGCTGGGGAAGCTCAGACCTGGCTGACATCATTTCTGTTCACATTACCCCCTCAGCCCAGCTCCCCTGCAGGTCCTGCAGCCCCAGCAGAGCCACATCCAAGCACCAAACTGAACTCTGCTCATTAACAAGGCTGCTCCTTAATTAACACCTGACTCTCCTTCACTGATTACGCATTTCCTTAAAGAGATCATGTCCTGGGACAGCTGGGGGTTAGCTCCTGCCTGTCCTCACGTGAAGGGGAGAGGCCCCCTGTCCCCACTCTGCTCTATGAGCAAAGGCTTCCAGTCCGATCCTCGCCCACGGCAGTGAAGAAGAGCAGCACTCATGCTGCCCAGCCCTCCATTAGCAGTGCCCGTTGCATTTCGCCTCCTCCAAAGCCTCATGGCTCCTTGTCTCTGGCCAGTATGAGGGAGGATGCTCCCAGCCCAGCTCCCCAGCTCTCTTCTCCTCTCCGCAGACTGTGAGTGCTATGGCCACTCCAACCGCTGCAGCTACATCGACTTCCTGAACGTGGTGACCTGCGTGAGCTGCAAGCACAACACAAGGGGCCAGCACTGCCAGCACTGCCGCCTGGGCTTCTACCGCAACAGCTCGGCAGAGCTGGATGACGAGAATGTATGCATAGGTGAGTGCTCTGGTGGCCTTGGGCAGTGACATCGAGACGTGGGACAGCTCACGCGGGTGGGCTCTCTCTGGAGGGTGGTGTGTCCTCAGCCATTATGGCCTCTTCAGCATGCCCAGGTATTTCTTTCCTGTAAATGAAGCCCAAATATCTTTCCAACTTGATCCAGATGCATTGGTCTGTGGGGAGGTGCTCAGCATCAAGCAGGGGTGGTTTTGCACCCATGGCTGCTTGCGCTGTTGGGGCCTCTCCGGCAACCGTGCCCTCCCAGCCCCTTGGTCCCTAAGGCCCCTCCTGTAGCATGTAGCCAGCCTTTTCCAAAGTCCTCAATGCCTCCTTTGGGGCATTAGCGGGGGCAAAGCCCCCAGGCAGAACAAGCACTAACAGTCCTGTCTTTGGCCAGAATGTAACTGCAACCAGATCGGCTCCATGCACGACCGCTGCAATGAGACCGGCTACTGTGAATGCAAAGAAGGTGCCACAGGGCCCAAGTGTGACGACTGCCTGCCCAACTACTACTGGAGACAGGGCTGCTTCCGTGAGTACCCGGGGCAGAGGCAGGGGTGAGATGGGCCCAGACAAGAGGGAGACCCTCAGCATCACCTACTCGGGTGCCTCATGAAACTCAGCGTGTAGGGTGAGCAGACTTCAGCCATTCCTCCCAACTCCACATGACTTGAGAGCTTTTCCCCTGGAGTTTGCAGCTCCCGCTGTGTTCCTCTGCCACTACAAGGGTTGGATCATTTTACCCCTAGGAGCTAGAAAAGAAAGCCAAAATCTTCTAGCTTCTGCTGCAGTCAAGAGTTTTAACACACCTCAGCTTAACACCTGCATCTTTCCCTCCCTCCCACCTCCAGCCAATGTCTGCGATGACGAGCTCCTGCTTTGCCAGAACGTCGGCACCTGCTACCAGAACCAGCGCTGCGTCTGCCCCGTGGGCT